AACGTTAGGAATGAATTTATATGTACTAATGGATTTCTTAAAATTATTTTGAAAATAATTTTCTGCAGCATTCAAATCATCAAGCCAAGTAAATATAATCCATTGATCCACTTGAGGTTCATCATCACCTCTTTTTCGGCGGAATTCAGCAATAAACGCGGTCTCCAAGGCAGTGATTTTTGAATTTTTTTTCTTAGTAAGAGAATTCATCATAGGTCCAATACTTTCTGCGATCTTTCTTCGTTCTGCTCGAATTCGTTCGGGGTTTACGATTTCGATTGAATAGAGCAATTTTGGTTCAGTCTCATTTTCACCAAGTTCATAAAACTCGATACTTTCAATATATTTCAAAAATAAAAGGCAATTAATGCTTTCATTTTCATAAAAAGTTTTAAACATTTCCAAAATTTGATCTGGGCTATAAGCTTTTTTTGAAATTTCCGATTCCAATGCATCTTGGGCAGTGCGAAGGGGATAGCGGAATAAGGAGCCTTTAAAGTTTTGATCGCACGGAACGCGAAAAGGAGCAAACTGATCCGGATAGAGTGCAGCCAAGTTATTTTTAACAAAGTCAATTTTTATTCCACCATCAAAATAATTCTCATGCGGATCAAGGATAAGAAAATTATCACCAGTAATAAGTTGGACTATATATTAAAATGAAATGATAAGTTCACTTTTAAGAAAAATGTTTAATTAGTATTTCAACTAGCTTACCAGTATCACAAATATGGTAAACACTATTAAAGCCTACACCCATAACTAAATTTGTAGAGGTAGAGATATCAATCAAATTTACTAAGAAATTTTTTTATATATGAAAACAAACAAAAAAGCCGAGCCTTTATATTACCACCAATCTTATCAAATTGATCATACTTTTCGCTATTAGCCAATTTTTTTAAGGAATCAAAATCACGCTCTTCAAAAATTGTATCGTTCTTTGCTAAAAGAGCAGGACCTTGATAACGGTCCAATTTTAAGTTTGTTTTATCACTTTTTTTTCACTGGTTTTAACAGGCTGTTAGATTGATAAAAATTACGGTCAAGTATAAAGACCTGTGAACTACTTTTAGCGTCATCAGAATTTTGAAGAATTTCACGAATAATTTGAGACCCGTCTGGATATTCTTCAAGAATTTTGCTAAGACGATGTGTGTATGGTTCACCAGGTTTAAAAGTCTCTCCTTGAGCCATTCTTCTGATGATGAAATCTTAATATAGAATTATCGTATTAAACAATACCATTACGATGCCCTTCTTAAAAACCTTTTGTGGAATTTCTGATCTACAAAAGGGTAAGCTCAGTTTACTTATGATCACCTGAAATTCGGAATGTTTTTGACCCCCGATTTCTATGAATTTAGGTGTGATTGTAATTACAGCAATTTCTTTGGTATATAGTATGAATTATCTGATAATAAATCATTCTATAAGATCAATATTAACTTGTAATTTTATTTTTAAAGATGAATAAGTTGTCCGGATTTTTTGGAATATCAAGTATAATTTATGGTGGAAATTTATTATCAAACATTTCTTTTATTTATTCAATGACTATATTTATAGTATTCTTATATTGCCTTTTTTACGGCATATTAAAGGTAGTTGGTCATGTAATTTAAATTTTGTCCTTATTGGTATATTTATTTATTAATTTTAAAAGATAATCAAAATCTTTAAATAGGA